GGGCGCTCGAGGCTCCGACCGAGGTCCCCGGCCGAGCGTCCCGTCAGAACGGGGCCTGGTGCGGGAACGCTTGCTTCTCGTCGAGCGGCCGGCACAGGCCGCGAGGACCCACAACCCGACACTAATCCATCGTAGCTGTGGTTTGCTGTCAAACGCGCGTTTTATGCCAAGCCGCGAAGGGAAGAAGAGAGGTGAACCCCAAGCCCTAACTGAGAATAGTAGGGGTGGTTGGGGCCGGACTACATGCTGACGCAAGCGCACGATTAGTGGGTGCGCCCCTATTCCTAAAGTAAAATTGCGCACCCACCGCGCGCACACTGTCTACACACCTTAAATAACCCTAAGCCCTAAACGGTTTAGGGCTAGTAGCGCTCACCAGGATCCAGGGCTTCTACAGTTGATGATATAAACCTTGCATGACCCATCATAGGAAATATAGCATAATTCCCATAGTTTAGGGCCCTTAAGATAATGCAGGATTTAGATCATCAGCCGTAGGGCTCATAGGGTTCACATGTCTTCGGTCTTTTCGGGATTGGAGATGCAGGTTCTCTGGCTCACCGGCAACCACTACTCCCCGAATGAGCGGGAGTACAAGAAGATGAAGGCAGGACGATAAGTTTAAGCCTGAAACGCTGGATCTTAAACCCTAGCGGTTGTTCTACTCTAACCGCAGTGGGATTTGGTAGTTTGTAGGGCCTTGTGTTGCGAGTTTGGACTCGAACATGAATGTCTGTCATTACCGTTTTCGATGTACGGTGGAATGCAGGCGAACACAACATGGTAGTCGTCGCGGCCTTTATGCTGAGTCTGGTGGGTGTTTAGAGGAGGGTGTGATCTTCCAGCTACAGAAACGACACCAACGGACGGGGGCCTCAATCATCAGAGCAGGGTTTAGGGGTACGTTTTGCTGCGCATGCAGGGGTAGGGAGCAGGATTACATAGCATTACTAATTACTTACTATTTCGGAAGTCTTACATAACCCATACAAGCGAATCCTTAGCGGGAATTATTCCGTCCCTGTTTTGTATCGATCGAGTCACAGGTTGCTGGGAATCGTCTGCACCAGCTTCATCCACAGCAATTCGACCCTTGTTCTGCAACTAACCCTAAACCCTAAACCCTAAACCGTAAACCCTAAGGACCAGAAGCTTCTTGAAGTTCAGGGGTTTGCGATGGAGGAGGGTGTGAACACGCCGCCTGGTCCCAGAGACTTTCTGCCAGTTGCGGACTCCAGAAAAGGGTATTCAAGAACAGGTGTTCTTACTTGGGTACCTTGACGGTTGTCTCCCATCATGCGTCTCATGCCCAGAGGGAGTCCAATTTCGGGGCTTTGCTTTCACGGTCGTGTGTTACCGTCTGGTTTGCAGTTTCGAGCACATGCATTCCCTCCGCCAGATCCCCGACTCCTAAGCCCGAAATCCCCAAGCCTTAGAAACTAGACGCGCGCCGGCGCTGGAAACGCTGAAGGCCCAGATTGAACCCATCGAACCCAAAGAGAAAGAACTACGGTCCAAGGAGGGCTTGAACAGCCTCCAAGTTCTACTGTTGCATCACAACAGGCCTGGAAACTAGCGTTGAGGAGTCAGGAGTTAAGGCAGCGATTGGAGACTTAAGAGTTCAGGGGTCTAGGGTTCCGGATTTAGGGTGTGCGATTCGGGGCAGGGTCTACTTGGAGGATCATGGGACTTAGTAAGTAAGGTTATAAGTACCCTAATTGGGGTTATAATTATGGTTACCTTATTTATAACCCTAGTTACTAAGTCCCATGATCCTCCAAGTAGGACTTCTAGGTTTAGGCCTCAAAGTCTGGGGTTGAAAGGTTCACTTCCTGGCTATGGGATCCTGTCATGGTCACCTTGAGACATGAGTTTGCTCCGTAATATCGGCACTTCAGATCTCTTTGTTTTTATTGCTGGGTCCTGAAATCATACGGCAACATGAGCCCTGAAACAGTTTGTGGCTCCATTTCTCTGAAGCTCGGTGCAGGGACGAGCGTATTGGTACAGTGCGTGATGCCTCAACAAGTCCTTTGACCCAATCTTGGCGGAAACTGGAACTGTTCATTGAGAAGAATCAGGCGAAGACTTCTTGCATAGAGCGAAGAGGCAAAGAGTCGCGGCTCATCGATCACGCCACGGCCACATGTTGCCCGCGGAAAGCGATGCCAACGAGCCCAGTTGCTCAGAAACCGAAACAAAGCGCCACTCTGCTGTCCGTTTAGCACCCGTGCGTGTAATTCTTGAACCTGAAACCCCAGAACTGAAATCCTTGACTCCGAACTCTGACGCCGGAACCCCCAAAAACCCTATGAAAACCCCCTAAGCCCGGAACCCTGAACCCTCTCCCCCTTGAGAACCCTATGCCTAGTTTGTACGCCCTAAACTCCTGAACCCTACATGCTAAACTCTATACCCTAAACCCTGAACCCCAAACCCCCCCTAAACCCCAAACCCCTAAACTCTAAACCCTATACCCTAAACCCTAAACCCCTAAACCCCCCTAAACCCTAAACCCAAAACCCAAAACCCTAGACCCCTAAACCCCCAAAGCCCTGAACTCTAAAACTCGGTAATCCTGCAGGCTTGAAGCGCTTCCCGACAGCCTCTTCGACGGCTTGGCAAAGCTCCGATCCCTGAGCGTTTCAGAGGTTTAGGGGTGCAGGGGCTTAGGAGTTTAGGGGTTCAGGGGTTTAGGGTTTAGGGTTTATAGGGGTTTAGGGGGTTTAGGGGGAAGCTTCGGGACTTAGGGTTTTAGGGTTTAGGGGCAAGTTTAGAGTTTATAGGGTTTATAAGGGGTTTAGCGGCCAGTTGCGGGGCGTAGGGCGTAGGGGTTCAGGATTTGGGGGTTCGTCTGTTGTTTCCCAGGGCTCCTAGCAACCCCAAATGGGTAAAATTGGTATTTTTTACGCCTCTGAATGCAAATTTAGATTTAAGCGCCCCATACGATAGACTTTAGACCTCCAAGCGTGCACTTGCTACGCATGTACAGGGAGCGAGTTAAAACTACAGAATCAACAGACCGTTTTGAATATCTTCGAATAACCAGTAATAGGGTTTCGGTCTCAGGCTGATGACAACTGTAGTAACTATAGCGTTTGAGCCCCATTCTGAAGTGTTACAGCCTAACTTAAAGCTCAACAAAGCAGCGAAGCCTGGATTGCCCGAACCCCTTCGAATCCTACATCGTAGACTCCGTAGACACTACGTGCTGATCCAAACACTTATTGTTGTGAGGCGTACATTGGTTGTACGACCCTGGAATCATGGGCGTAATTCTATCATTTTGCGGGTTTTTTGGCTATTGTAAACTCCAAACCCCAAACCCTAAACCCCCTANNCCCTAAACCCTAAACCGTGCACCCCACAGCATGCCTAGGAGTCTTGAAGCTGCTGGATAACCCTTTCCGTCCAAGACTCACCAGGCCACTTGCAAGGAATTGGCGCAGTGATTTGAGTTCAGGTGATTTAGGGTTTAATCTTGATGTTGTAGAGTTTGGGATTCTAGCGTGCGCAAGCCTGAAGTCTGTCCAAAGTCCAAAGCCTAAGCTTACCAAACCCAAATTCTTACCCCCGAAGAGAAACTCCAAGCCCTCAATTTTGGTTGTCGCTTTGTTCGGGCCCTTGCAGTGCTCGTTCACGGTGCTGGATTTTTTTGATGCGCCTCGATGTGTGCCCGTACTTTTCTGTGCTTCCAAATCTAAACGATTCCTTTGTGCTCGTGTTTCTATTTTACTGTTATCTCTTGTCTTGCCGTCTTCCAGCTAGCCTGTTGCATTGTATTTTTTCGTGCAAATACTTCGGGAGTTTCAAGACATGGAGACCCACAGTAGACTCAGTAGACGCCAAATAGTAAGATCCATTGCTATGAGCACCCCCGACTACCATAAGTTTCTAAACCTAATTCTATATTATACTATACTAGATGAAGTTATACCCTAC